GCAGCAGTGCAGGCAAGCCTGCTTTGCCAGCTGCAGAAAGCAGCATGCACACCTGCAATTTTCAGGCCTCTGGGAAACCCCACTGAGACATGAACATGAAGTCCTTGAGAAAGTCACACAGAAGTTTCTAAAAGGATAAAGAAGGGCTCACATGACCATGTTACCATCTCACAGGAGTTCTGTGTATTCACCCTGAACATAAAAGAACCCACCTTCCTCCTACATTTGTGCACAGAATCTATGGATGTTGGTTGTGTATGTAATAATTCAAGCAGCTAGTACAATGAACCAATCTTTACTCCTCTACCTGTAGGCATTTTATACCTGAGATAGTGCATGAAATGCCATCTTGTGCCCCTCAAAAATATTTAACATGAGGGTGTGGAACAATCAATTATCATGTAGTTCCTGATTTCTGGGATGCTTTAAGCACATACTCAATGACAGTCTAGAGATCATGTACTTACTCTGAAGCATAAACACATTCCAGTTTGGGATGTTACTGACCATTATTACATATCAGTGGCTAAGAATATGCATTAAAAATTATTTGGATTCACAAGCAATCCATTTCAACCATAGCAAACTGCCCACAAACAATAGATGATCCCAATGTCTCTCAGGGAAGCTCCCACAAATCTCAGCATAGTATCAACTCCAATAACTTCCCTGTTCATAACAGCTACACACAGGCTGCAGAAAACAAGAACGAAAGAATCGCAGAATGAGAAAGGATCTAGATACACAGGAGATCGTGAATCATCTAACTGGATACAAAAGCATGAGCGTAGTCACCAGGGGCGATAAAGCTAAATCTATTTGATGCAGTGTCCCACTCCGTCCTAACCAAAGTTAAATGTTCACTGAGGTAAATTCATACATAGCTCAAGCACCTAAGCATATCTCCCCACTTCTGCCCAACACATAATCCAATTTAAGACAAATAAACATCTCAGTGTTCCCTGGACAGTGTTTTCCTGTCCTAAGGCATTTGCTCAAGCATTTGCCTCCATTTGAAAAACATCTTCCCTCTTCTCAGTTTCTGCCTGTTGAAATTCTATCCCATCTCTCAAGGCATCTCTCCCATAAGCTTGTCTTGGTCCCTACCATCAGGTCATCTCTCCCTCCTTTGTAGCACTGTTTTTACTCTCTTCTGACATTTATCTTATTATATCGTACATGACAGTTAGTTGGGTACCTGTCATTTGTGATGTATGGATTGAAATGTTTCCCCCAAAAATATGTGTCAACTTGGCTAGGCCGTGATTCCCAGTATTGTGTGGTTATCCTCCATTTTGTGATCTGATGTAATTGCCCTATGTGTTATAAATTCTAATCTCTGCCTGTGGTTAATGAGGCAAGATTAGGTTATGTTAAAGAGGATTAGGGTGGGATGTAACACCCCTACTTAGGTCACATCCCTGATCCATGTAAGGGGAGTTTCCCTGGGGTGTGGCCTCCATCATCTTTTATCTTACAGAAAATAAAAGGAGAGAGAATCAAGCAGAGAGAGAGGGACCTCATACCACCAAGAAAGAAGAGCCGGGAGTGGAGCACATCCTTTGGACCTGAGAACCTCCTAGACATAGGGGAAGACTGAGATAAGGACCTTCCCCCAGAGCAGACACAGAGAGAAAGCCTTCCCCCTAGAGCTTGCACCCTGAATTCGGACTTCTGGCCTTCTAAACTGAGAGAATAAATTTGTTTTTTAAAGCCATCCACTTGTGGTATTTCTGTTATAGCAGCACTAGATAACTAAGACTTGTAGTAAGGTCTGTGAAGACAGATAGGCTCTTACTCACCTTCAGTAGGCTCTGGAAGGCCCTGCCAGGACTGCCAAGCTCAACCGTCTCAGGCCTTGAACAGACTGGTCATTATTATCCAGGTGCAGCAGGACTGTACAGGTATAATGCCCACTCATCCTTTCATAACCTACAGACAATTAAGCAAGATGGAGCTGGTGGGCTGGTAAGATATACCTGGAACCTGGTTATTAGATCTAGGAGACACCTTGTGAAAGGAAACTTTTGCAACTCTCGGAGATTATTATGCTGCTTCTTTAGAGTGACTTATGATGCAATTGTAAAAGGCTGAGTAAGTCCCCATGCAGGGCTTCCTGGGACGTGGCAGGACCTCACCTTGAACAGGTAGAATAGAATGTCTCCAACTAAGCTCACCAAACACCCCCTGGCCTGATATCACCCAGTACCTTTTCTTAAAAATGTATCCTTTGCAGTTATCACAATAAACTGTAATTTCTATAAGATTTATGTGTCAGGGTTTTCATTTTTGCCAAACCTCCAAACCAGTCCTCTGTGTGTATACTACATTAGATATAAGTTCTCCTAGAATGGACTCAAAAGTGCTTAAAATTTAAAGTATTCTTCCCCAAATAGGACAGTCCTCTAACATCCCCCAAATTACTAATACCTTGTATGAAATTGTAAAATCCTCCATAACTAATCCTCCGTAATCTACCAGGAATGAAGTTACGTGTGGGAAAAACAGATACTAATAGAAAAAACAACAGCTCTGAAACACAAGTTTGGAGAACCAGTATCATACAACTTAAAGGAGTGGAAGTTGTATGATGCTGTAATATCATTAATATCACAAGCAAGTAAAATTTTGCTGAAGATCATTCAAAAACAGTTGCAGCAGTACATCAACAGGGAACTGCCAAGATTAAAGCCAGATTCAGAAGAGGACATGGAACAAGGGATTTCACTGCTGAAGTCAGACGGATCTTGGCTGAAAGCAGAGAATACCAGAAAGATGTTTACCTGTGTTTTATTGACTATGGAAAGGCCTTCGACTGTGTGGATCATAACAAATAATGGATAACACTGCGAATTCCAGAACACTTAATTGTTCTCCTGAGGAACCTGTACATAGATCAAGAGGCCGTTGTTCAAACAAGGGGATACTACGTGGTTTAAAATCACAAAGGTGTGCATCAGGGTTGTATCCTTTCATCATACTTATTCAATCTATATGCTGAGCAAATAATCCGAGAAGCTGGACTATGTAAAGAAGAACGCAGCACCAGGATTAGTCGAAGACTCATTAACAATCTGTAATATGCAGATGACACAACCTTGCTTGCTGAAACTGAAGAGGACTTGAAGCACTTACTGATGAAGATCAAAGACCACAGCCTTCAGTATGGATTATACAGCATAAACAAAACAAAAATCCACACAACTGGACCAATGAGCAACATCATGATAAACTGAGAAAAGATTGAAGTTGTCAAGGATTTCATTTTACTTGGATCCACAATTAACACCCACAGAAGCAGCAGCCAAGAAATCAAAAGACACACTGCATTGGACAAATCTGCAGCAAAAGAGCTCTTTAAAGTGTTAAAAAGCAAAGATGTCACCTTGAAGACTAAGGTGCTTCTGGCCCAAGCCATGGTATTTTCAATTGCCTCATATGCGTGCAAAAGCTGGACAATGAATAAGGAAGACAAAAGAAGAATTGATGTCTTTGAATTATGGTGTTGGCAAAGAATCCTGAATATACCATGGACTGCCAGAAGAATGAACAAGTATGTTTTGGAAGAAATGTAGCTAGAGTGCTCCTTGGAAGCGAGGATGGTGAAACTTTGTCTCACTTACTTTGGGCATATTATCAGGAGGGGCCAGTCCATGGAGAAGGACATTATGCTTGGTAAGGTAGAGGGTCAGCAAAAAAGAGAAAGACCCTTGATGAGATGGATTGACACAGTGGCTGCAACAACAGGCTCAAACATAACAACAATTCTAAGTATGGCGCAGGACTGAGCAGTGTTTCGTTCTGTTGTACATAGGGTCACTATGTGTTGGAATCAACTCAAATGCACCTAACAACATATATATACAAACTCACTGCTGTTGAGTCAATTCTGTTGAGTCACTGTGACCCTATGGGACAGAGGAGAACTGCCCCACAGGGTTTCCAAGGCTGTACATCTTTACAGAAGCAGACTGCCACATCTTTCTCCTGCGGAGCAGCTGGTGGTTTCAAATTGCCAACGTTTTCCTTAGCAGCCGAGCGCTTTTAACCACTGTGCCACCAGGTTTTATATATGTGTGTGTGTATGTATATGTATATGTGTGCTTATGTGCATATATGTGTGTATATATATATACACTTAAGACACTTAAAAGATTGTATATGAGTGCACAAACGTCTGAAAACGACACTAAACTGCAACCTCTGGAATCTCTAAGGAACGGACTTCTGGGAACTTTGTTTACTTTGCATGTGTTTTAACCCAGGTAACTACAACACAACTTGACTAAAGAAGTCTTTGAAGAAAAAAAATCCTACAATATAGAACGTTAAGTGCAATCCTGCAATAAGTGTAAAGACAACCAATGATTACATGAAAGTACAAAGGAAGGGAGCCCAAGGACAGGAGCTGAATTTAAAGGAGAAGAAATAGGGCTTATTACAATAATAGTGGTCCTACTTACCTCACTGTAAGTAAAGCTAGTATGCGTGTGACACACGCTGCCTTCTGTGATCTGTCATTACTTCCCCAGCCCAGTTCAAACAGCTTCCTCAACCATACTGTGTGCTTGTGGGGGCAGAAACCAATTTCAGATCCATCTTTATGTCCCCGGCACCCAGAACTCTGCCTGGCCTCAAGGAGCTCAGTAAATGTTCATAGGATTATACTGAATTAAAGGCAAGGAGGCATTTCAGCCCATCAACACGAGTTTAATCAACCCTTAAGCTCTACACGAAAAATATAACCAGATTTCAAGGGCGCAGCCGTCCCCAAATGGAGTACACTCTTGGGACTTAAAAGGGCGACACGTCAGGCGACTGTGAGTCCCGAGCGAGTCCCCAAGTGTCTCAAGGGGGAGTTGGAGAGCTGAAAGCAGGAGACTCAGTCTTTAACCGCCGGTATTGGGGGATAGTGCCCTGACGCCCTGAAGCCCAGGTCAAGGCCCTCACCGGGCGGAGGTCTAGAGAAGAGGGCTGACAGAGTTCTCGGGTCCACTCACGCCAGGGCAGCCGCCGGCTCTTCTAACTGGATCTCGGCCCGGAACGGCGCTCACCCTCGCAGGACAAGCTCAGACCTGCCACTCTGGAAAGCTGGAGTTGGAAATGCTCCCGACAGGGCACGGAACTGGAGGAGAGTGTCACCAGCGACAAGGGGCGGCCCCCCCGGGCTGGCGTCCCGGGACCTCTGCCTCCCGACCACATGTGCGCTTCCTCCAGGCACCTCGCCAGGTGACGCGCTACCCACATGTGGCTTCAGGCTCAAAAATCGAGGTCGAGGAGCTCCCCGCCCCAGCAACTTAGAAATTTTCATAAGGGCATACGCAGGTGTCGCGGTGTAGTAAAACCTCCATATGCTGGGAAAGAAGGCCCACGCGACGCTTCGGGGAGTTACGCGCTGCCCAGGCTGAGTGGGCGACGCTGCTGGCGGCGGCGACGCGGCCCGGGGACGCCCCGAGGACCAAACCTACTTCCGGATCAGCCTCCTGCCCCAGCTCAAAAACTGCCCGCGACCACCAGTCACCTAAGTTTCACCGGGGTAAGAGGCACAGAGCCGCTGCGGACCAGCAAGTGGATTCACTTTCAAAGAGCAATACTTTGTTAAAGGAAGGGCAAATGTCAGTTACAAACACAGAGATGTAAAACATAAACTATCTTAATCAGGATTCTCAACCTAGAAGCTGTAAGTAAAACAAGTTAAATTTGCGGACATCAAAAATGAAAATTTCTGTATGACAAACACACTCAAGATTCCCTTTCCAAACCCTTCGTCTTCTTTTTTTTTTAATTTTCGAGTTAAGTCAAGTTTTTGTTCCGTCTCGGAAACTCTTGTAAGATTAGAGGAAGTACCAGTGGAAAAGTACCAAAAATTCAATTCCTCTCTATCTGAAACTTTTTATCTTAAGTAGTTCAACCCCGGCAGAGCCAGTCTTATTCTCCGGGATTTTCGGTGTCCAAAATGCTTGACAAGTGCTACCTCCCTCTGGGTAGCAGGCTGGAACCACCCCTCGTTGCATAAAAACAATTTTAAAATGTCAACGAATTCAAATATTTGAGAGGGCTTTAGGATCCTTGAACTACATACTTCTGCTCACTCGAACAATCAACTTATTTTGAATTTCACCGGCCTTTGTTCTATTGAAGGAACCCTGACGGCGCGGTGGTACAAGCGCTTGACTGCTAACAATATTTAAAAGAACAGGCCCTTCTGTGCAAATCCGGTCAAGCAAGAACATCTTGAAATCATCTTAGACTTCCTTGCCCTTTTGCTGAGAAAAAAAAAAAAAGAAGTGGCGGAAACAGGTTTATTTTAGGGCTTTAAAAAATCCAATCAGTCGATCAAGCATTTCCAACTTTCCCAAGGCAAGCTTTCTTTGCAATTTCCCAAAATGTATCTTAAACTCAAGCTGCTCTGAGAAGCTGAAAGTCCTGTCCTACTAATGAGAGAGTAAAAATTTCCACAAGGCCGGTGCTCCCGCAAGGTAAAGGCCACCGCGCACACAGATAAAAAGTCCTTGTTCTCATCCACTTTCCGAAAGGAAAACTGCCAAATCTTTTGACCAGTTCACTCCAGGAATTCAACAACTCTCAAGATTATTTTAAATCTGCTTGACTCTGGGCAGCCGCCACCAAAACCCACAGCCTGTTTTCCGCCTCTGGGGCTACAGGGGGTGACCAGTGTTGGGCAAAGGTTATTTCCCGGTTGGTCCGGTCCGTCGCGGCGCACGGGATTGCGCTGGGGTTTCCAGGGCCTTTGGCAGTCTTTCTGGAAAACGCCGGCTCGGCTCGGGGTGAAGGCCAGCGGGTGAGAGCCGACACGGAGCGCCCCGCCCAGTCTGGAGCCCGTGGGGCAAACCGGATACCAGGAATGCACAGGGTTGAGTCACTGGCCCACGAGGCCCACTCCTACCCTGGTCCCCGGTGGGCACCCTCCCGCTCTGGGACACTTCGGGAAAGCGCAGGTCGGGGAGAAAAGGCAAGGGGTAAGAGAAGCAGGGGTGCCACGGCACTGGGCCCGCTACAACGCTGACGCGAAAACCTGGCGCCGAGTCTGGGGGAGAGGGTGTGGGGCGCACGCACCGCCCTTGCGGGAGCGCCAGGGTTGAACGCGGGGCACGTACCATCCTGCCCACAGCCGGGGCTTTCCTCCCGCTGCCGCCTCCCAATCTTCACCCTCGGACAGTGCACGCAAGATGGAGGCAAAGAAACCGAAACTCTGGAAGCGGACGTTAGCGATTACAGTGCGCTTCCCTGCCAGCTTCCCCCTCCCATTGCCTCAGAGCTCGGAGCCTCCCCTGCGCTAGATTCCTCTGGATTTTGACGCTTTACAGAAGCTTCACGGTGTAACATTCACTGTATTAGGCCCAGACGCCCCACCCCCGCCCCATTCAAACCACACTAGTCCCTTTGAGTTTAAATACTGTCCTGTTAGATGGACACTGTTACCTGTTTATGACTTCTACAACTGGATAAAACCAGGAAGGACATTTAAAGTAGTTAACTTTATGGGTCAGATCCCGTTGTGCATGGGGTTGCCATGAGGAGGGGAGGGCGACTCTAACATCAAGATGTTATAGTGAGCATTGCTAAGGTTTGTTATGATGTGTGGGAAGAAGAAAATAGTAAAAATGAAAGCGCTTTCTATATTTCAATTTATTTATGCCTAATAACTACCTATGATTTTTTTTTTTAATTTAACTTTTCTTCAAATAATTTCAAACTTACACGAGAGTTGGAAGAATACAAAAAGAGATCGACTTCAGGCATGACGGGGTGAGAAGCTCTGCTGAGCCACGCCTCAGTGAAACAGGTGAAAATTATAAAAACAAACAAACAAAACACAACCATTTAAAGCCTCTGAAAATGGTTCTCAGGGCTAACAGCCAAAGAAGAAAGATCTATTCAAGAAAACCTAGGAAAATTTGGTGAGAAAGTCAACTGTCTGTGGTTTTTGAACCCAAACTGCCACCCACCCCACTCCACCCCTGTTCATTTCAGCAGTGCAGACTTTACTCCAGACTGCTGTAACCAAGAAGGCAGGGCTCCCTCTCCTGCTAGGTCCCAGTGGGAGAGCCTCTCCCCAACCCTCTAGGAGCAGCCTGCAGCTGTCTGTTACTGAGGTTAAGTCCTAGTGAGTGCAGTTATGAGATGAGGGCTCCCTTCTTCCACTCAGCCCTGAATTGTGGAAAAGAGGCTTTACCTGGTAATACTGGGGCCCTGATCACCCTTGCCCTGACTTGTGAGGTGTTGGTCCTACACAAGGAGAGGCAAACCAAGAGGACATCAGGCTGCTGCCCCATCCCGCAGCTCAGCTCCTAGAGCAGGGATGTCACTAAGAGAGCAGCTTGCCATTGTCCCAAAGATCCAGAGCCCTGGCTCAGGGATTGTGCTCAGAGGGGAGAAAGACCCCTTGCCATCGAAACAATTCTGACTCCTAACAATCCTACAGGACATAGTAGAAGTGCCCCATAGGGTTTCCAAGGAGCACCTGGTGGATTCAAACTGCCAACCTTTTGGTTAGCAGCCGTAGCTCTTAACCAGGGCACCACCAGAGCTCCTGGAGGGGAGAAGCAGGCCTTAAAACAGATAGCTCCTGATCTTTTCCCAGAAGAATGACTTCATTTGCAACAGAGTGTGGAGAAGTTGATACCTAAGAGCACTCTCAAGAACAGTGGAGGTTGTGGTGAAAGACAGCTGATAGAGGATTTAAAACCCTTTTGTGACTTGTGAAACATACAGTATCCCACCCACTTTATGCGTCTGGAGTTCTTTGGGAGTATACTTTTCCTACTGAAAATATTTGCTTCCCTCCACTGGGGACTTGTGTAACCGTGGAAGACCAAGGAAATGTTCATTGAGGCAAAATAGTTGGGGTATTAGGCAAAACCAGAGGTGCCTCATGTACCCAAATGGAAGGCATCCACAATAAAGCCTGTTACCCAAGACCCATGGGCCAGACAGCCTCCCACAAATCGTATATTTTCATATAATATTTCTCAAAAATCTATATTACCAACCAAAAATTAAAACACACTCAATGACTAAGAATGCATTCCACGACTGAAAACACATGGTATCAACAAAAAATTCAAAGCAGAAAATAATTGGGTCTTGAAAGGATTAAGATGCAGGCTAAACTGTAGGCTAGCTAGTTTGCAAGAGGGAACCAAGGAGGAGCCCTCCTGGGGTCAAAACAAATATAAAACACTGACCCCAGGAACTAATCTTTGATTGGATGAGTTAGTAGAGCGATTTATGACCCAAGGTATTGTTGAAAACAATAGAGCAATCAGCCAGCAGTAGGTGGAGTTTAACACAATAGCCACAATCATGGACTCAAACATACCAACAGTCATGAAGATAGCTCAGGACTAGGCAGTCTTTCCTTCAGTTATACATGGGGTCTCCATGAGTTGGAGCTGACTCTGTGTTGTTGTTGTTGCTAGGTGCCATCGAGTCAGTTCTGACTCATAGCAACCCTATGTACAACAGAAAGAAACACTGCCCGGTCCTGCACTGTCCTCAGAATCGTTGCTCTTATTGAGCTCATCCTTGCAGGCACTGTGTCGATCCATCTTGTTGAGGGTCTTCCTCTCTTTCCCTGACCCTCTACTTTACCAAGCATGATGTCCTTCTCCCGAGACTGGTCCCTCCTGATAACATGTCCAAACTACATGAGACAAAGCCTCGCCATCCTCGCTTCTAAGGAGCATTCTGGCTGTACTTCTTCCAGGACAGATTTGTTCCATCTTTTGAAAGTCCACGGTATATTCAAGATTCTTCACCAACACCATAATTCAAAGGCATCAATTCTTATTTGGTCTTCCTTATTTATTGTCCAGCTTTCACACGCATATGAGGTGATTGAAAATACCAGGACTTGAGTCAGGTGCGCCTTAGTCCTCAAAGTGACATCTTCACTTTTTAACACTTTAAAGAGATTTTTTGCAACAGATTTGCCCAATGCAATACGTCGTTTGATTTCTTGACTTCTGCTTCCGTGGGTGTTGAATGTGGATCCAAGTAAAATGAAATCCTTGACAACTTATATCTATTATGATGTTTCTTGTTGGTCCCGTTGTGAGGATTTTTGTTTTCTTTATGTTAAGGTGTAATCCATACTGAAGGCTGTAGCCTTTGATCTTCATCAGTAAGTGCTTTAGGTCCTCTTTGCTTTCAGCAAGCAAGGTTGTGTCATCTCTGTATCGCTGGTTGTTAATGAGTCTTCCTCTAATCCTGATGCTGTCTTCTTTTTCATGTAGTCCAGCTTCTCGGATTATTTGCTTAGCATGTTGTTGTTGTTGTTAGGTGCCATCGAGTTGGTTCTGACTCATAGGGAACCTATGTACAACAAAATGAAACACTGCCTGGTCCTGCACCATCCTCACAATCGTTGTTATGCTTGAGCCCATTGTTGCAGCCACTGTGTCAGTCCATCTTGTTGAGGGTCCCCCTCTTTTTCACTGGTCCTCTACTTTACCAAGCGTGATGTCCTTCTCCAGGGACTGATCCCTCCTGATAACATGTCCAAAGTATGTGAGACAGTCTCGCCATCCTTGCTTCTAAGTGGCATTCTGGTTGTACTTCTTCCAAGAAGGATTTGTTCATTCTTTTGGCAGTCCATGGTATATTCAAGATTCTTCACCAACACCACAATTCAAAGACATCAGTTCTTCATTCTTCCTTATTCATCATCGAGCTTTTGCATGCAGGAGGCAATTCAAAACACCATGGCTTGGGTCAGACACACCTTAGTCTTCAAGGTGATATCTTTGCTTTTAACACTTTTAAAGAGGTCTTTTGCAGCAGATTTGCCCAATGCAATGTGTTTTTTGATTTCTTGACTGTTGCTTCCATGGGTGTTAATTGTGGATCCAAGTAAAATGAAATCCTTGGCAACTTCAGTCTTTTCTCAGTTTATCATGATGTTGCTCATTGGTCCAGTTGTGTGGATTTTTGTTTTCTTTATGCTGTATAATCCATACTGAAGGCTGTGGTCTTTGATCTTTATCAGTAAGTGCTTCAAGTCCTCTTCAGTTTCAGCAAGCAAGGCTGTGTCATCTGCATATTAATAGGTTATTAATGAATCTTCTTCCAATCCTGATCCTTCATATACTCCAGCTTCTCAGATTATTTGTCCAGCATACATATTGAATAAGTATGGTGAAACGATATTACCCTGATGCACACCTTTCATGACATTAAACCACACAGTAGCCCCTTGTTCTGTTTGAAGGACTGCCTCTTGATCTATGTACAGGTTCCACATGAGCACAATTAAGTGTTCTGGAATTCCCATTCTTTGCAATGTTATCCATTTGTTGTTTTGATTTGTTGTTTGTTATGATCCACACAGTCAAATGCCTTTTCATAGTCAATAAAACATAGGTAAACATCTTTCTGGTATTCTCTGCTTTCAGCCAAGATCCATCAGCAATGATATCCCTTGTTCCATGTCCTCTTCTGAATCCAGCCTGAATTTCTGGCAGTTCCCTGTTGATATACTGCTGCAGCCACTTTTGCATAATCTTCAGCAAAATTTTACTTGCATGTGATATTAATGATATTGTTCAATAATTTCTGCATTTTGTTGGATCAACTTTCTTAGGAATAGGCATAAATACAAATCTCTTCCAGTCAGTTGGAGAGGTAGCTGTCTTCCATATTTCTTGGCATAGATGAGTGAGCACTTCCAGTGCTGCATCTGTTTGTTGAAACATCTCATTTGGTATTCCATCAATTCCTGGAGGCTTGTTTTTTGCCATTGCCTTCCGTGCAGCTTGGACTTCTTCCTTCAGTACCATCAGTTCCTGCTCATATGCTAAC